TCTTTGTTTCTGTGCAAGGGCTTTTTCTAGTTGTGGCAAGCGGGTGCCACTCTTCATCATGGTGCACGGGCCTCTCACTATCGTGGCCCCTCCTGTTGCAGAGCACAGGCTCCAGACGCGCAGGCTCAGCAGTTGTGGCTCACAGGCCTAGCTGCTCCGCGGCATGCGGGATCCTCCCAGACCAGGGCTCGAACCCGTGTCCCCTACATTAGCAGGCAGACTCCCAACCACTGCGCCACCAGGGAAGCCCTAATTCTATGGTTTAAAGTCACGTTTTCCCAGTGCCCCACTACCAAGACTCCTGGATTTAGTTTCACTGACTCAGTAAGTTTAGAGACCAAGGTCTACTCTATTAAATCCAAGCTCCCCATGTGATTCTGAGATAGGGGCCCCTGAGACCCTTTCATGAGAAGTCTGGAGAGTGTTAAGACTTCCCTGGTGGTGCAGTGGTTAAGAAGCCGCCTGCCAATGCAGGGGATACGGGTTGGAGCCCTGTTCTGGGAAGACCCCACATGCCGCAGAGCAACTAAGCCCAGGCGCCGCAATTACTGAGCCTCTGCTCTAGAGCCCGCGAGCCACAACTACTGAGCCCACGTGCCACAACTACTGAGCCCGTGCGCCTAGAGCCCATGCTCCACAGCAAGAGAGGCCACCGCAACGAGAAGCCCGCGTGCCACAACAAAGAGTAGCCCCCACTTGCTGCAACTAGAGAAAAGCCCACGCACAGCAACAAAGACCCAACGCAGCCAAAAGTAAATAAATACATTTATTTAAAAAAAAAAAAGACATAATAGCAAAACTATCTTTACTTTAGGGATTTCAATAGCAAAGACCTTCTTAATAACTATGAGAGTTAATAACTCGCTATCATTATTCAGATGCAGCCTTGTTTACCTCAAGTTTTGCTCCAGGATGCTAGCTTTTCTTTCATCTCCCAGCTTTCCTTTACACAGCACTTCCTACCCCTCTTACAGTCTTTATCACCTCTATCACCCGCAGCTATTAATCCTGAAGGAACACATACTCTGCAACTGTGTTGCTTAAACAGCATGTTTTTTCTTAACACTGTTATCACACTAGAAAATAGCAGTCAGCCCAAGATAAATCAAGTTCTTAATCACTCAGTTGCTTTACATACAATCTATATGTTAGAAATCACTTTCAGGGAGAGACACCAGTAAACCCAAACTCCCTTTCAATGTTTTAGTGTATATATAAATTTCATAGATTTTCTGCTGTCTCTTCTTACTCATTTCCCTGTGTTTCCTTACCTTGACAACTCTCTTTGCACTTGGTAAAGGATAATTTTCAAAAAAATAACATCATGACTCTTACACAGATAGAAAAATAAAAGCTAAGAATCACGTTTTGAAGATCTTGTTTAATGTTTAACCTTATTCCTGAGGAAACTGGTAAGATGTTACAGTCAGTTCAAAGAGGATTCAAAGAACAGACATATCCATACATCAGTAATGCTGAAGTGACTGGGCCAAGGGAGGCAAAACTGGCTTCTTCCCTAGTGGAGGAGCCCATCCACCTCTACCAGGTTGAATCTGCTGGTCTGTAGACAGAATTACTTGTAAGGAAACAATGCCTTGCTTGCTAAGCAAAACAAATAGCAAAAAAACTGGAAGTCTGTATTAAAGGATAATTTAATGTAAATATGTCTTAGAGATAGTGCATTTCCCTGGAGGGATTTGAAGCTTATCTCCCCCAGAGGTAGTTACCTACACTGTAAAACCTAAGAACTTGACCGCCCTCTCCTCAGAGATTTGTTGCATTCCAGAGTTCCTCTCTCACTCTTTGTCGGGGTGGAGATGTGCCAGCCATCCTCTGTAAGCTCCAAGTCTTGTAATTTGGGGGTCCCTCTCTCGTGGTACAACTCCAGTAGGCTTAAGTGCATCTGGCACTCACTGCATCTAGAGAGAGTGAGAGAGTTAAAGATAAATAGATACAATTTGTATAGAAGGCAAGGTAACTTGTTAGCTTGCAAGTGGGATGTCTCATACCCTTCACAGTTTCAGCCTAATCATTATTTTGCAGTTGCATCAGATGTCTCCTATTTACAAAGTTCTAAAATAGTTAAGAGGCAATGAAAATCTCAGAGCCACCAAAGAATCACAACCAGATAACCTGGAAGGCTGTGCTCTAGTGTGGACAACACTTTGTTTTTATTCTTTCACATGTTTATTCCTTCAGTGACTACTGTCTTTTTCAGCACTTGCCAAGCCCACGTGCTGGATATACTATAGTTAGCAAATCAGAACCTATCAGTGTAGTTAGCAAATCAGAACCTATCAGTTTCCTAATAGTGGAAAAACCGATGGATTAAATCACAAAATACTGAATTACGCATTGTGAAGGCTACTTTTTTTTATAGCTGTAATTTCTAAATAGGTATTTGTAGAAATATCAGATAACACAATCATGTCCGAAAGAACAGTATAATAGTTTGCAGACGTTCCTCTATTAGTAAAGCACATGCGATTTGCAGCATGGATGCTGGGCTCTCATTTCCATTGCTCAGAATCCATTGTGATGCTTTCATTGTCTCTGCTTTGCCCTGGACATCTTGATTATCTGATAAGCACGGCATCCCGTGTAACTTCCTCCTTCGGAGCACTTTATACTAGAAAATGAAATCACTTACAGAAACTATCATATGGAAATTTTAGAATTTCAAAAGGAAACATTTCTATGAGCAGCCCTTTAACAGCTGTCATGCACTATGGCCTTGGATTTCTTACAATACCTTACGAGACCTTACAAAAACACAGTGTGTTCTTCATGACCCAGTGGATGCTAAGCGATAGGGAAGTCCCTCTCAGGGTGACCCAAAAAGCAAAGAGACAAAGGTTTCAAGGAGGTTTATTGTCCTCTTTCAGCCGCTACTCAGCCGGAGATGACCTGCTTCATGCATGCCATTGATTCCCCACAAGAAAAGATGAATCATTCTGCTGAATAATAAAAGCAGAGTCCAACAGAGGCTAGGCTAACAGATTTGCCTGGTTAATAATCTTAAATTTCTAATAGTCAAGATTGTGTGGCTAAAATGATAGAATTTCAGACTTAATATATTGCCTCCTATATACTGCCTTTTTTTTTTTTTTTCCAAATTTGGAAATGGAGGCTGAGATTTTGCCTGACTTTCTTAAGGGCACAGACACATGCCAGATCTGCAGCTCAGGTCTCCTGGTGATCTCTCCACTGTACTGCTGTCTGGTCATCCATAATTAATTTCATGAGCTTATATATCATGTCCTCTTTAAGGAAAATAATTTACTGTTAAAGCGCTTTGGTGAGCTGAAATGCAAGGTGGAAATAAAAGTAACAGCTATTGTTTCAGAGGAAAATAATGATCCACGCGTGGAGGGGAGTTAGGCTGTCAAATTTGCCTCCTGTCTCATTTATTTAACAGGCCTCTCTACTCAAAATTCTGATGACCGGGACTGAAATTTCTTGTTTTGATTGTGTTGATCCATGTGAATGTATTAGCTAAAAAGAGGCTGGCGGGGATTTTTACCTACTCTTTTCCTCCAACTTGGAATATTCTTCTTAATACAGAAGAGTTATGTGATTTAACAGCACATTAATAGCAGAGTTTTGACAACTTCCAATCTGTTTCTCACCTATTAAATCGGACGCCTTTTGATTAATGTGTTCTTGGGCCTGCGTATATCACAGTAAATATAATAAGAAATTTATTGCTGGGAAAGTTGAAGGATAGATACAATATGCCATCTTCTGTTGCAAACCTTGTCGGATTTTTGTTTCATCTAAATAGTTTTGGTAATCAGTATGCTTGAAATGTTTATAGACATTCAGGTGCTAATAGTGATACCTCTAGTACCTACTCAAAGATATATTATTTCTTGTGTTAGTTGAGTTGCTGATGCTGTATTGCATGTTCAAAAAAGTAACTTCTGGGGCTTCCCTGGTGCCTCAGTGGTTGAGAGTCCGCCTGCTGCTGCAGGGGACACGGGTTCGTGCCCCGGTCCGGGAAGATCCTACGTGCCGCGGAGTGGCTAGGCCCGTGAGCCATGGCCACTGAGGCTGTGCATCCGGAGCCTGTGCTCCGCAACAGGAGAGGCCACAACAGTGAGAGGCCCGCGTACCGCAAAAAAAAAAGTAACTTCCTATTTGCATGGTGTTAACTGTGCAGATCACATGATACCAAGATGAATATTTCAGATTTGATTTTAAAAGAAATAGATGTATTTCTGGTGTAATTTCCTAACATCTGTGTCCAATGAGTATATATTTATGTGTGTGTTTGTACCATAATCATATTATATATAGTTTTGTATCCTGCATTCCCCACTTAAATAATTTGTACATTTTCCCATGTTATGAAAAAAATCCTCCATCCAAAACTTGATGTAAAACAGAAATAGATGTACAGTCATAATTAAAAATTGTCTGAAGGGAGGTATATATACAGGCCATAAAATTTTGACTTTCTTTTTGCTGGCAGCATACAATAAGACTAGAAAAGTCATTGTTTACGTTATGTCATTTAAAATATTTTACAAATTCAAAGAAACTTTTTTTTTTCATATTGTAACATCTCTGAATTCAGGGTGCGTCAACAATCACCAATGTTTTCCAGTTATAATAGCATCATTTTTTTCTTTCTTGAAGAAAAATAATGACACATCTTCTGAAAGCAGAATGTCAGATTTGATGAAATGCACACAAATTTTAATAATCAGTTTTCTTAACATTTTTCACCATGAATATTTTCTGGCTGAATTATATGAAAAAGTAGAATAAAAACGCTGCAAATGTGTGGCAATCGTATAAATTTCAGGGAAAAAGGTCACTTTACTATAATTTAAAAGTTTTAAGAATCCATTTGTGTGGATTCTACCTCTCAGAGAGGTTTGATGACTAGAAAACTTTGACTCAGATAAAAGGTGATTTTGATTTTCTTTATTTATTTTAACTTTTGCAGACTAGTGATGGTCTCCTCTCTTTCTTCCCCCATTTCTGCATACAAGAAATTGCGTGGACCATCATCCAGCACAATGGCTCCGATGTAACAAGAGTCCGCAGTACCAATCCAGAGAACCCCTATGCTGGGTTTTTCGAATACGTGGCCAGCATGGAGCAACTGCAGGCCACAGTTAACCGTGCGGAGCACTGTGAACAGGAGCTGACCTACTACTGCAAGAAGTCACGACTTGTAAATAAGGAAGGTAAGTAAATTGGGGCGTTTGTCACCCTACACACGTCGCACAGTGTGTTTTACTTAACCAGCTCCTGCGGAGTTTAAGTCGGCCAAGGTGGAGGCCTAGAGCTGCCTAGGGTGTGTGCTCCCTGTGTCTTTAGCAAACGTGTCACAGTCTGGAAGTCACAGAGATGGTGTTGCCTGAAGAAGAGAACAAGGTCAGTTCACACTGAGCTTTGTTCAAAGCCTTGATTGTCTTTAGAGTCTCTGCCTGCCCTTAATCAGAGAACTGCACAGAAAAGGGCTTTGTTCTCATACTCGATAAATGCGTGGTGTTGATCCCTCATAAAGGGCAAGTGACACATACGGTTGGTTTTTACCATGGAAAAGAGTTAATAAAAATATGAATTCGTTTTCTGAAAGTGACTATTCTGTGTGACTCTTTCACGGGTTGTTGACAGTTACCCTCTGGGTATAACTGAAAATTAGAACAGTCTGCTAGAAACACAGTTTTTTTTTTTTTTTCAGCAGCTCAAAGAGGAATCAGAACACCGTGTTTAACTCTTTCTTTTACTCTACTTTTAATAACCAGTCTGCTCCTAAATTATGGTTCTGGTCTTGTGTTTTCTCCCTTTAGAGCATCTCATTATGTGACAATATCTCGAGTCCCACCAGCTCTGCCTTAGTGCGGGCTCTAATGACCTAATTTATGAAGTTACTGCAAGATCTTTCCTACTGGCCTCTCAGCCGGTCACCAGTCGGTATCTCCTGCCCACCCACTGTATCATCCAAAAGATTAATCTTCATGAAGAGAATTCACCTGTAAGAAACACTGCTCCCATCACAACACTTTACTGTTTAAGAAGCTCCAGTGCCTTCCTAGCTCTTCTGTCCAGTACAGGCTCTTCCGTCTGGACACCTCAGCTGCGTATTCTGGACTCACTTGCCTATGAACCTTCATGCCGCTCCCCAGCACACTGTTTTCTAGCAGCAATAATCAGGTGTATTTTTCTTCAGTAGTCAGAGAAGATTCTAAGACATCTGCACAATAAAGCTGCTTTGTTCCCTCTCATTTGTCGTCTTAAGAGAGGTTGGCGTTCCAGACAGAATGACAAGAACTTTAAAATGAAATGTGTTTCATATGTGAATATCATGTGTTATATGGGTCACGCAGAAAAATTTTGAACTCCTGGTATGACCTTTGAATCTTTTGTTTCCAGTTAAGCCCCAATCCTATTTACTTGTCCACCCACTTATTATAGTCTGATCATTTTCTCCCATATGCCTGAGTTCCACTCTCTCTTCCTCCTTTTCCTCCGTCTTCTTTTTCAGAATGTTCTCATTCAGCCTCTTAACCCCTCCTAACTCTTCTCATCTTGCTGGTATCCCCTCAAATCTTAACCCCCTGAAACTCCAATCCCATCTGAGACTGACCATCAGATAGTTGTAGTACAAAGAGCATAGGATTTAGAGGTGGGGAGAGAGATCTGGGTTCAAGGTCCAGGCCTCTTGTTGATTAGGTACAGAACTTGGATAGAAGAGTATTTCTCAGTCTTTGTTTTCTGGTCACTGAATTGGGGCCAGTCATATCAACCTCAGGGGGGCGTGGTCGTGGCTGGGTGGCATAACACATACAAAGTGCATGAAGTGAGCCCCTCTCTTCCCAGCTCTCCAGTGCATCGTGGTTATAGTAAACCTACTAGTTCAGTATGCAACTGACTGTTCATTATTAGTGAATATTGATATTGGAATCTAAAAAAGAAAAATAGATAAGCAAGTACAGAAGTGTACTCTAAGAAGAATGAGAACCATAATTTTAGAAGGGAAAATGAATGTGATGGAACAAAGTAAACTGAGTTGCTTAACTAGAGAAGAAAGAAAAGGAAAGACAATCATCAAAATCACAAATGAGTCAAACTCTAAAAGAACCAGAACACGGAATCCCCAAGAATGTTAGTGAGCGAGCACCACACGAAGTCAAGGGGACGACAAGGAGTATGAAGGATTCCCAGGTGTTTGGCAACCACTAGTAAAGAGAATAGTAGACTCTAGAAGGCTGTAGAACAGATGATGAGGATAACTGTTAAATACACAGATTTTCCTCAGGTCTGTGACCCTAGAATTCATGTAGAATGGATTTGAGGTGGAAAAGAGGGAACAATTTGGATTTCGGGGTCACAGTAAGAAATGTATGGGGAAGATCAGGAAGGTGGTGTCAGACAAGTTAAATTTACAGTTTCAGATTTTGAGAATATAGCAGCTTCAAGTAATAATGGTGCCATAACTGTGGATGAATCAAGTTAAATGTATATGAAAATGTTTCCGGCAACCTGTGGGTCTGCAGCTCAGCACACTGGAAGGATGCTCAATATGAATACTCAAGCCATTTGGGATTTTAACTCTGAGAACAGAAATGATCTACCATGATCTCTGATACTTTATCATTTTAATTTCAACTTTAAAATTTTTCATGCTTTTCTTTCTTCTTTTTTTTTTTTTTTTTGCGGTACGTGGGCCTCTCACT